GCCTGATGAGAAACTGGGCAGCTTGGCTGAGACTATTCTCCTGGCCACGAGAGGCACAGGTGCCCTTGTACCTACTGCTGCCAGGGCACAGAGCGTTGGTTGCTGGTTGCTTGAAGAGTGCAGCCCACCAGCTGCATGGGCAGGTGAAGATTCTTTTGTTCAAGTTATTGCCCTGTGCATCTTTCAAACTTTTTTGAGATACCAGTGCTTCCTGTGCCACCAGGTGCCCCATAGCTGGGCTGGGGTGGAGGGGCTCCTCCTGACACCCCACCTGCGTGCGTGCCAGAGACAGCATTTATCTGTTCTGGATGTCCCATCCCTGGAGGGGTTCAAGGCCAGGCTGGATGAGGCTTTGGGCAACCTGGGCTAGTGGGAGGTGTCCCTGCCCATGGCAGGGGGTGGCACTTGATGATGTCTAAGGTCCCTTCCAACCCAAACCATTCTGTGATTCTATGATTCTATGTTGTGCTGATCTGCAGAGCTGTGTAGGGAGCAAGGAAGAGCTTTTGCCACTCCAGTCCACCTTTGTCCTCCATCTCCTCTCCCTTTGGAGAGGCTGGCATGGCTGGGGACAGGAGCTGGGAGCTTTCCCAGTGCTCCACGTCTGTGGTTAGCTGGTGAGGATGGAGAGGGAGCGAAGGCAGCCACCCCTGGCTCGTTTGTGCTGCAGGAAGGAGCAGCCGGGGGAATTTGAATGAGGCTGAGAAAAAAACTTGAGAGACAGTGAGTGCGTGTGGAAAAGATTTGGAGGGGAGATGCTGGAAAGCAGAGCTAGCACTCATGCCCTGAGCTGAGAAGTTGCTGAAGAAGCGGGACAAGGAGAGAGTGGCAGGAGGGAATAGCAATGCTGGGAAGCTGGATGCTCACAGAGCAGTTCTTTTGCTCCGATCAGCTTGTGGGGGAATCTGTACAATTTTAATATGCGTTTTTCTAGCTGGTGTTTGCAACAATTCCCTGGGGCTCAGTGATGAAACAGGTTTTTCTTTCTAATTTCTCTCTCAAATAAGTGTACAGCTGCTTAATGTGCAGCTGGTGGTGAGAGCACATGTGTGGCTCCGCAGATCACCCCAAGTCCCAGCACAGGGAGGTTATCGTGGTCTGGGG